GGGTGTGATGATTTTTTTTCTTCCTCTCTTTTTTGAAGCAGCGTGTTCTGCTTTGTAAGGAATATTCCTAACTGATTTCTTCTCCTCCGCATACAGTGCACCTATAGCTAGGACGTGCGTATCTGTGGGTCTGAAGTAGCACCAGTCGCTTTGCTCAACGCCTCCTGTCCGCCAGCTTTCTGATAGAGTGAGTGGCTTCCTACCTTTAGTTGCTTCTTTGAAAGGAAAAAGTAACCAAATTCAGCCCCGTGCCCGTTTTATATACGGCCATGCAAGATGCACTACGGCCATCAGACGGTTCTCTCCACTGAGATGCAAACGGGACGGTCGGAGAGCAGCAATGCGAGAACTGCCCGTGCTTTGCTTTCGCTATTCACTGCCATGGGCTCCCAGTAGTGTCCTTCTGAAACGTCCCCTCACAGCACTTCTGTGTATAACTTTTGGGTTTATGAAGATGTTTTAAGGGAAAAAGAAAACAGCTCACACTTCTAATGCAAACACTAAGCTGAAAGAAGGCTTAAATACTGCGGCATGCAGGTTTTTTCACGATACCACGTGTTACATTTTTCACAGGATTCTTGCACTAATGGTTTTCCATCTGTTCTCTCTGTAAATGGGTGCACTTTACTGTTTGAATTTGTTACTATGATAAATACTGGATATTTAAGCGTGAGTAGTGTCTTCATTAGAAAATAGCAAAACAGCTCTTGTCTCTTAGTGTATTTTTAAAAAAAAAAGAAAAAAGAAAAGAAACGAAGCAATGAATCATAACATTTATAGCACAAGAACTGACTCTTGTATATAAGCATCAAAAGATTGAGTAATTTTTACATACAAAATTATTTGCAGTGGTTTTAAAGCGCTTCCCTAGCAATTCTCTTAGGGACAGCTGAGTTAGGATGGCTGCTGTAGTCCCCGGGTGGGTAAGGAGCACACCTCTCCCTGGAAAAGCCGTTCTTTACACAGTCCCCTGTGTCTTCAAAGTCACGATTCAGATTTGGCATGGACGGAAGGCAAAGGTTGTTTCGTATTGTGCTGTCGTCTGTGGTCCTGTTCTGAAGCACGCTGCTGTACACGTGGCTCGGTGGAGCACGAGGCTCAGATCTCACCTGATGCCTTTTCACCCTGTCATCTTAGATGTTGTGGGAGCATGCACAGAGCTTCAGACACGGTGCTGTCTCATCCATCCGTGCTACACGTTTAATTACTCGTTGAGTAATTAAGATGTGGGACGATGCTGCCAGCTGATGCCTCCATCCCCTCCCCGGCTGCAGTGGCACCGTTGACGAGCCCCCGTCTTGCGAGCGAGTAGGATTCTTAGGTGCACCAAGTAAACCAGGTTCTTGGTGACATTGAAGCCTCCGGGTTTGGTTCTTGGGGTGCATTGGGTAGGCAATGCTGAAGCCAACCCCTGTATTTAGCCGACCTTCCCACCAGGTGTCTCTCGTCCTCTGCCTGCAGCTGCTCTGAGAGCTGGGTGTGCGGCTGCAAAGCTGAAATCTTCTCTCCCAGCTTCAGGTGTGGGTGTCTGCCACGTTCCTCGGTGGGGATTTGCTGGCTCTTGCTTTGGCTCCCAGGCTGGGAGGATGCTCTGGTCCCAGAAGAGGGAACACCCGCCTGGTAGAGGACTCTGCAGGGGTCCCCACCAGCCAGGTTTTGGAGGGCTTTGAAAATAGTCTTCAGTGGGCATCTGAAGTGCTTAGGAAAGGGAGGGTTTTACAAAGAGATCCCTTGGGATCCGTCTCCAAAGGCGAAGGTGCTTCACTGTCTGAGCTGCCTTCTCTGCATTGCTGCTTGGGAGGGCATTGGCTGCGCCAGCTCCCGTCTGTCTGTCTGTCCATCTGCCACCTGGCACCAGTGCCTGCAGATGGGTCTGTCTGAGCACTGAACTTCTTGGTTTTTTTCTTTAACCTGGCTGTAAGAAAACCACTTGGCTAGTGTGAACATTTGTGTGTGCGTATGACAAATACCTAAGCCATACTTGGATTAGGTCCGGAACCAGGGTGGCTACTAAATTTGGAGCGATTCAGTCCCCTCATACAAAGGTTGCTGTATATTCAGGGTTACCCAGAAAAAGTCTAGCTAAAACCAGCTCCGCCTTATCTAGAGAAAAGCAAGCCGGCATGCCTGCTCGTCCTCCGCCTTCCTTACAAAGGGGGGTCTGCAGTGAGCTGTCGCGAGCTCTTTGGTCATTGTACTTTGCTTTAGTCTTGGGAATTCAAGATAACTCTTCTACCAGGATTAACGGTGTTTAACTAAGGGCTTAGGGGAAGAGCTGTTGTACCTGCTGGGACCTCTGCAGATAAATGCCTTCATCCCGTGCTGGTTGCTCTACGCGAAGTCTGGTGGGTTGCGTGTTGGACACAAAGCACAATGGTTGAAAGTTAATCTGCGTTTTTTTCAGATTCTTGTGAACAATAGCTGGATTTTCATTCAGTCAAACTCTTTTTTCTAATATAAACCACTAAGGGCTCAATTCTTTAGCAAGATGCATTCATGTCCAACTCCTGACTATACAGCTGGATCTCACTGCAACTGTTACAGACCTACCCAAGAGAAAACGCAGCTAGCGCGACCGTCACCAGGAAAGCCAACGGACACCAAACCCATCCGCCGTATCTTTTCCTCCTGCTCATTTTCTAGCTGTCACGGTACTGGGGAGTTAGCAGCCGGGTCCCATCAGACGGGATCGCATCCTGTAGTCATGAAAACAGAGGGCTGCTTTGCCACAAGACTTTGTCCCTTCTGGGTGACGCTGTCCGGGGACGGCAGTGGGGCTGCGGGTTGTGTCCTCCAGTGGGTTGGGGTCGTGCTGGGTGGGTGGGAAAGCCTCCCACCCAGGGAACTGGGTCACTTCACCGTGGGTCTGCCTCGCTGTGTACTGATAAGCCAGACACTGAGAGCAGCACTGTGTGCTATACAAAGTCTCTTTTGTTGCTACACCGATAACCCAGAGACTCGTGGACTCTGCCAGTACTGCCGGTGTCATCCCTGTCCAGCCTTTTCTTTCCCATAGTGTTGCGTTCAGCGTTTCGTCTCCCTTCTGTCTTCACATCCAAGAGGATCTGAGTTTGGTACAAACACGTAGAGTACACACACCTTGTGCTTTGTACAATTCCCTCCTTCGAGACACTTGCTGGGAAGATCTTTAAGACACTTAAATTTTCCTTTAGCTTTTCTATAATTCTGATGTAAAGGACTTTCTCCCTGTACAGTATATTATTCAATGCATGTTCTATTCTCTCTACTGATATATTGAACACCACACAGTTGTGATATTGGGCAGTGGGAAGAGCAACCCCTGCCAACAGCGGAGGCCTTCGCCTCTCATGTATAAGGAAAGAAGAAAACATATTTTTTCCTTTGCCGTATTTGCTTGAGCAGAGTTTTCTTGTCTGTACATGTGAGCTGTGAGATAGATGTGAAAAGTTCAAAAGAATGCATTCCCCCCCATGTATACAGATTGTAATCTGTACAATGAAAACTGTATGTATGAAAAAATGTACTTATTTATAAATGGTTAACACTTGGAAATGGCGTCTGGCCTGGTGTTTTTCCCACGCTGCGGTGAGCGAAGGAGCGCACTATGGCTTCTTGATGTGGAATTAACCTGGGGACAGGTCAAGGGTTGGGTTTGGCTGTCACTGCCTGGGGAGGGGGACAGGGACATGGCACTGCGGGGAGCAGGAGGGGACAGAGGCAGTGCTGCTGCTGCTGTTAGCATAGGGGCGTTAATGAAATAGGGGAGGGAACTGCATCAGAGAGTTTTCTGGATTAAATTGTGGAAAGAACAGCTTGGCCCTGTGGACACTGGAGCCCTACAGCTCCCAAGACCCAGAGTGTCTGCTCACTTCATCCGTGCCTGAACCCAGGGCTTGGCTTCGCAGCTGTGAGCATCCCTGCCTCCAGCCAGCGGGCTGGGCTGGATGCACAGTGCATTGGAGTTGTGGTAAGCAAAAACCCCCGGCTTGGGCTTGTGCCTTTGCTGGGGCTGTGCTTGCTTTGCAGCACTGGGATCAGGAGCTTCAGGTTTCTGGCAGCTTCACCCATGCAGCTGCCTGTACTGAAACCCAGAAGGAAGATGGGATGCTTTCAGCAGAGGAGACAAGCCCACATCAGGGATGCACCTCCTTATGGCAGTGGGTCTCCCCCATTTCCATGGGCACATCACCTCCAGTGCATGGCCAGGCCCTGCAAGACGTCCGTGTGGGGTCCCTCACGCAGCCACCACTGAGCTCTGCGGCACCAGGTGCACGGTGCAGGACATGGATGGGACAATCCTAGCCCAAATACCCACCCTGCCCTTCCCAGCCCTTCGGGCAGCTCCTCTCCCACTGCCCACAGCACGTGGGAGCTCGGGGGTACCCCAAAAACATGAGCTGGAGGAGAACAGGGTTAGCTGCAAACATTTATTAGGTTGGGAGCATTCACTGCGCAGACAACACATCGCACAAGAGGGGAAAATATTTCAGACACGAAGACGCTGAACCTGCACAGATGCTGGGTCACTCCGAACCCCTGGGGAGCCCGTTGGGGGGGAGCAGCCCCCACACACAGCCGCACTGGAGGGCAATGGGCTGCCAGCGAGTGGGAAATCTCGGTGATGGCAAACATCCCCTCTGCCCATCAGGACTGGGAATGGGCTCTGGGCTTTGGCCGCTCAGTGGGGAATCTGGGCTCCCACCCCCCGGTCCCCAGAGCAGGACAGAGCCCGGAGACCCCCATCCTTCGTGCCCTAGTGCCCCTGCCAGCCCTGCCTCTGCCTGTGGCACAGCCACCCCTGTGGGGCTGGGGTCAGGCTCGGGGGGGCACCGGGGGCTGCGTGGGGCAGAGCTGAGGAGGAGTAAGGCCAAGCAAGGCTGAACCCAACAGGCAGCATTACACCAGCAAGCGTGTCCTTCCCAGCTGTCCTTGTCACCTTGAGCTGGGCAGAGCCCCAAGACACCGGGGACAGGGTGCACAGGAACATCCCACAGACACCATGAGGTGCCTGTGCTGGGGACCAAGGAGCTGGGGACATCACTGGCTGCTGCCACCGGGGCTCTCGCCCTCTGTCAGGGTCTTGAAGTCCATGGAGAGGGCCAGCTCCTCAGCCAGCGGTGGGCGCTTCCAGTCATCCCGCGTCAGCACGTAGCCCACCACCAGCCCGAAGGCCAAAAGCAGCATCCCCAGAGTGTTGGCCAGGATGCCCTCAGGCACAAAGTGGCTGTAGGAGTCCCTGTGGGGGTGGAGGGAGATGTTCAAGGCTGTCCCTACCCTGGCTGGGAGCCCCTCCTCATCCTCATCCTCTTCCTCCAGGCACACACCCCAAGAAAGGTCCCTTTCCCCCAGATCAGGGCACAAGGTGACTGCCCTGGTGCTACTCACTTTGGGGAGGGACACTCTTGGTGACAGCAGAGAAAACAGGAGGCACAGTCTTATAGCAGGGCTATAGGCAGCCCAACACCTCCCTGCCAGATGTGCTCCCCCAGCCAGAGGGAGGTGGCTGTGGGGGTGCCCCATAGCCCCTGTCCCCACGGTGCTGGGGGGGACCCCGATGCACAGCTAGGGCCATGGGCAATCGCTTGTCGTCTAGCTGCGAGGGCAGAGGCCTCGGGAACATGAGTGTCCCAGGGGTTTTCTGAAAACACCCAGCTGCAGAGAGGCAACGGTGGATATTTTATCCCCATCCCCAAAGACAGCTGTTGCAGGATCCGGCCCTTGTTAAACATCATCTGGGAAGTGACTCAGCAGCAGTAGAACTAAAGGCCTCAGGGAGATCTAATAGCCATGGAGCCATGGCTTGAGCAGGGGCCAGACTCTGCCCCATGGGGCTGGAGCAGCCCTTTACTGGGGGTCAGGGGAATCCAGGGGGCTACCAACCCCCCAGCTCGGTCACCCACCTGATGTTGAAGAGGAGCATCTCAGTGATGCCCAGCAAGCAGGTGGCAATGGAGAGGGCAAAGAGGGCGATGCCGAAGAAGACATGCTGGGGTTTGTATCGGCCGCGCAGCGAGAAGGAGGCGCTGGGGAGCAGGAAGAAACCACAGCCCAAGAGCCACTGCGGGGGTGCGGGGATGTTATGGGGTGCTGTGGGGCCTCCCCCCCCCCCCCCCCGGGGGCCCGGGGGGCCCCCCCCCCCCCCCCCCCGGGGGCCCAGGGGCTCCCCAAGCCCTCACCTGCAGGAGATAGAGCACGAAGGCAGCCATCCCACACCAGCTGTGCAGGCTGTACATGTCAGGGGTGCCCTTGGTCCGGTGGGACTCAAAGACAGCGACGATGCCTGCAGAGAGGAGCCTGTTACCGCTGGGGACGGATCCAGCCCCATCCGCCCATCCCGGCCCCAGCGCTCACCAACAAGGGCGATGACCAGCGCCAGGCCATGGAGCAGTGCATGTAGCACCTTGGTAGAGCGCTTGGTTTCATGCCTGAAGACCCGGTAGACCAGGAGAGCTGCCAGAGAGAGGGCAGATGAGCATCCATGGGGGTCCCCCACCTCCCCAGCACCCTGCATCTTCCAGGGGTGCTGCATGCAGACAGGGGGGTGTTTTGGAGCATCTTCCCAGTCTCATTTGTCATCATTTTGTCCCCTTCGCACCCTGCCTGGCTGCAGCTCCAGAAGCTTTGAAAGCTGCAGCCGGGACAGGGCACTTGTCCCATGGCCCCACTCACCGTCACCTTGGAGAAAAACCATGCCCAGCACCATGCAGAGGGGGTGGACGTTGAACTGGAGGGGGCTGTGCCAGGCCACACCGCCCTGATAGCGGCCCAGCCAGGCGCCTGTGGTGGCCAGCAGCGTCAGGCCCAGCAGCTGCGACACGGCCACGTACGCCGAGAGCCCGGCAGGGCTGGCAGGCGGCGGAGCCCCGTCCATGCCGGCCTGTGGGGACAGAGAGGAGGGGACAGCGAAGCCACGAGTGGCCCTGCGTGGCAGTGGGGTCCCAGCCAGCTGGCCCCAGTGCGGGGTCCTGCTGTGGGCAGCATCCAGCGCCACCACTCCGCCCTCACCCACAGCTTGCCCAGCCCTGTCCCTTGCCCTCCTGCCTCTACTTGCCTGGTCCTGCCCACATCCTGCCTGCCCCAGCACTCCTGCCCCAGCCCTCCAGCCACACCATCCCTCCATCTCTGTCCCTCCATCACCGCCTCTCCATCTCCATCCTGTGTCCCACCCTTGCCCCCTCCCCACCTCACGCAACCCCAGAGCCACACAACAACCCCCAAAACCCTGCCAGAGGAAGGCAGCACAGGGACGAGCAAGGTTGCTCGGGAACCCCCCCCCATGACAAAAGCGATGGCTCCTGGGGACACGGGGCTGAGCAAACCCCTGTGCTGGGGCGGGACACAGGGTAACACAGGACACACTGTGTTACCCAGCTGTGATGCAGCTGCACTGGAGAGCTGCCCCACGGCCCCCACAACCCACCTGCACCCGTGTCGTGCTTCGTGCTGGGTTATCCCCCGATGCTCCCCGCTGGCCTGAGGATCAGAGATGACGACGTTGCCACCAGCACGGCCACCTCTCCTGCTTCTCCGTCAGCCAGGGCCAACGTCCCACCTCTGTCCCAGCTGCAGCTGCCTCTGGGGAGGAGCACCGGCCCGGCTGCTGCAGACAAAGCCACAGTGCTGTCAGGACCGGGGGGTGGGCATTGGGGCGGAGGGGGGACAATGCATTAAGACCACGCACACACTTTATTCCCAGCCACCTTTATTGGATCAGCCGGATAAATGGGTTAAGGGAATTGGTTTATTCCATTAGGTTGCACTGCAAAGGCCGCCTGCCCGCGCCCGGCCTCACTGCCTGGGGCCATGGGCTGCTCTGTGGGGACTGGCATGGGGACTAGGCCGGGGGGGGGCAGCGAGAGGCACTATCTCCTCCCTGCATCACAACAGCCCCCCCCAAACCTCACCGCAAGGCTGCTGGCTCCAATGGGGCCACAGATCCCCAGTGGGTGCCCATGCGGTCCCATCCTGCCCCCCCGCATCCTCCCGCCAGATGCAAACACCTGGCCCCACTGGCACTCACACAGAGGGCCAACCCAGTCCCCAGCCGTGCTGGGGACAGAGGGACAGGGAATGAACCCTCCCCGGCCATGGGAACTGGCAACAGGACGTGGGGAGGTGCCTGTTGGAAACGGTCTCTGCAAGTTGCCCGTTAGCCCTAAAACTATCCCATCTGCTGCTGCCAGCCACTGCTGAGCACTGGGAGAGACGGATACGGCCAGGACCCTTCGCAAAGCCATCCCGTGGTGGGGACCTGCCTGTCCCCCCTCAACCACATCTCTGTCCCCCTGCACCCCCAGCAGCCCCCAAGCACAGCCCCAGTCCCCCTGTCCCAGGGAAAAGATGAGGGGGGCTTCTCTGGTTAAACCCTCCCCATGTGGCCTGGGGATGGGGGGACTGGTGCACCTTGCATACCCTGTCAGCCCCTCACCGTGGCCTCTGGCTGGGACCCCCCAGAAACCCTGGGAGGGGTTTGGGGGGAATCTCTCTGCTCTCGATGGGGGCTATAGGCTCGTGCAGGGGAGGGGACTCACCCCAGTTCAAGACCTGCAGGGGCCTGAGTGACGTATGGGGGCGAGGTTGGAGGTGGACACCCACGCATCCCCCCTGTCGTCCCCCCCCAACCCTACCTGTGAGTGCCGGGTGGTTCCGCCTGCGCCAGGCCCAGCGGTGACAGTATCTGAACGAGGGACAGAGCCACCGCGTTGGCAAGGCAACAGAGCGATGGCAAAGCAAGGGGGGGCCTGCAGCCCCCAGCATTGCTGCACAGGGAGGGTGCCATTGCACGCTGGGGAGGGGGATGCAAACCTGGGGGGGGCATCACCACGGAGGGGGGTGTCTGTGTATTGTGGGGACGGTCCCCAAGGCGCTGGCAGCATCTGTGACCCTCCCCCCCCGCCAGCTGTGCCAGGCCCTGCCAGCACCCACCTGAGCCCCTGCACCCTGCAGCAGCCCAGCCCCAAACCAGGCCAGGGACCCCACAACCCGTGGACAGGGCACACTGCCTCTGTCACCATTTAATTTGTATTTATTTGGGCAGCGCAAACCAGGGCCTTGTGTGGATCTGGCTTAATTGGCTCCCACTCATCCCCTGCGCCCCATCAGCAGTATCGCGGTGATGTGCTGGGAGCCAGCACCCCTGCAGGGCTCTTGGCTGGGCTTGTGGGTGCGGGGATGGCAGTGGGGGGACATGCCCTCGGGGACCCCCCGCCTCCGCCTGCCCCCCCCGCCCCGGGAGCCCCTCAGGCACCGCCGGCTGCATCCTGCGCTCCCCCATGGGAGGGCCCCAGCGATAAGAGCCTGGAGAGGGGAGGTGGGGGTGATGGGGGGGGTCGTCCCCCCCCGGCTCCTCCTGACCCGGCTGCGGGCAGCGTCCCCCGGGGGATGCAGCGCCGTGCACCGGGGCGAGCAGCGGGCCGTGTCTGGGCGTCTGGGTGTGCATGTGTGTCACACGGCGCCACTAGGTGTCACCAGGAGCCCGCAGGATCCCGTGGGATCCAGAGTGACCAGGTACGGACCAGGTGGGATGGGCACCATTCTTGGGTCTGGGTCCCCAAAGGGACGCGGAGCACCCCCGAGCCAGATCACTCATGGGAGCCAGCGCACCCTCACACCTGGAGCGGCTGGTGGGGTCTGGAGCACCCTCAGCCCTCACCATCCATGGGAGCTGGAGTACCCTGGGACCTGGAGTGGCTGGTGGGATCCGGTGCTGCCCTGGTGCAGAAGATCAGGTGTAACTGCCTCTGCCTGGGTGCAGGGTTGTTCCCCCAGCCCTTCCCCTTGGGCACATGGGGCTGCTCTCACCTGCCCAGACCCTCCTGAGCAAAGGCACCCTAAAGACCCTCCTGAGGTTTCCCCCAACATCCCCATCACCTTGTTTCCCCCAACACCCCCCTCCCCTTCTCCGCGCCCCCCCCCCCCCGGGACTCGTGCCATGGGACACAAACCCCAGGAGCTGGCCAACCCCACCACCACCACAGCGTGATTCAGTAGAGCCGAAATCCCATGCAGCCCTGGGATCTAATGGAGACCTGTCACACCAAGAGCAAAGTCCGGGCCCCGCTGCAGCCTGGGGCAGAGTCCCAGGGCCACCGCCCTGAGCCTTCACCCACGGGGAACAACCCCACAGCAGTGGGAGGCCGTGTACGGCGCTGCCATAGGAGCCACTGCCACCTTCCAGCCTGCTGTCGGGCTTTATCACTGTGATGGTTGTTGGGAAATGGTTTACCAGAGTTAATCAGCTAAGCCATAAAAGCCACCATAAACAGCAAACCTTGAGCCATTGGGCTGTGCCCCAGCTGGAAAGGGCTGGCCGGGTGTCAGGGCAGAGCAGAGGAAGGATCTCCCCCACCATGGTCCAGCTGAGACCCTGTCGCGAATGGGTGATTTAGAACGCTTAAGGAATCACCGGCAAAATAATATGATGTTGTAAAAGTGCAACTTAACAAAGTTCAATGGCAAGGTTCACTCTATTAATTACTGCATGGAAGAATCATACAAAGGAAAATTGAGTTACACTCAAGTTGTTACTTAGAATGATTCACAGAGAGACCAGCGAAGCGATGCGTAGGGTAGACCCTTCCATTGAGTCACGAGGTTCAGAGCAGACCCCCTTGCATTCTAAACTCCTGATGGAGCTTAGGTGCAGCTAGGTCCAGTCTTAGTCTCAGACTTGGTCAACGGTTTATGTCTAAGGGATTGTACATGCAAAGTTTATATAATGTGTCATTAGCATCAATTCAGCATGCAATCAAAGTTACCAAGACGAAATCAAAGTTACCATATTACAAGGTTATGTGCAATATTGGTCGCTTACCAAAAAGATCTGTTGTTGGTAAAAGGTCTCTCTGCCTCGAGGAGCAACATTGAGAGGCATCCCAGCTCAAGGGGAGATCACTGCCATGCAGCCACGCTGCTGAGCAGGGAGAGCTCAAAGATGGTTCACTTAAGCTGACATATTTATAGGATTAAGTGGTTGGCTTGTAGTCAAATTATATGCGATGGAAAAATGCATGCAGGAGATGCCTTGTACCCACAAGTTACTGTTTTCCTTGGTAAACGAGTCTTGGAAAAGCCACCCACTGTTCATATGTTAATTGCATGATCGGTGTTCCAAGCTCATACGCATCGATGCTCACCGTGTCGCTCTGCTCCTTTGTGGATTTTTCAGAGAACAGCTTGAAACGAGGAGCTCGCAGTCAGGCTACAGCCCAGGCCTTTACCTCTTCTGGAGCCTGCACCAAACCACCCCCAGTCTGGTCAAGGGGTTGAGCGCATCCATCACAGACCCTTGGAAAAGCCTGAATGGGGATGAGGTTTGGGGGTTCATCCTTTAGGACACTTGGCAAGACGAAAATCTTCGTCCTCTGCTGAGAAAGCACTGCTGTAATGCAATACAAAACAGCTTTATAAATGTTTGTAACTGCATCCAGCTGAACTACCTTGACTTTCAGTAGCCAAAAAAACAGAGCAGCCCTCAACCCTACATGATTAAATGGACATGGTTGCTTGTCCCATCCACACAGCAGGGACAAACTCAAGGATGGCACATGGCAGCGTTTGTCGAGGGGGGTCCCTGCACCCGCTGCCATGTGCAAGGGGGCTCGGTGGCAGCCGATCCAGGGACAAACGAGCCCCTTCAATGCTGGCCGGCACCCTGCTCTTACTGGGGAGCAGTGAGCCATTTGTAACCAGCTCTTTAATTAAAGACATTGCCAGGGGCATAATGGCTTTATTAAATCTGCCTGAGCTTTCCCTGAGCTGGCAAAAATGAAATCCTCCCCATGCTGCCAGGGCAGTGACATGCCAGTCGGCTAGCAGAGCCAGTGCTGGCTGTCCTGGCGTGGACCCACGGGGCTCAGGGATGCTCAGGGA